ATTGTTTCTATCAAAAAGACAAAACTCCAACATTTCATGTTAAAAAGAAGATTTTATCATAGGAAAAATATCACGTTATCTTTATTTACTTATTTGATATAGTCAATATTTTCAAAGTATTTATGATTAACCAAATGATTTATAATCATTCATAAGAATCATAATCATTAGTATTCATGAATCATGATTTATCAACATACAAATTAATTATTGGTAAAGTTCTTCTGCTCAATAACTCATGATGTGTGTTGAATTTCATTGATCTAATTGTTAAATTAAAAGTTATTAAATTTTACTAATAATTCATATAGAAAAAATTAATTAGTTTTGGAATAAATTATTTTCTAATTAACAATATAATTGAAACATTAATTATTTTAAATTATTAACCTAAAATTTTTGTATAACTAATATCTGATTTTAAATTTGATGTGAAAATATTATGATATAATTAGATAAGATTTTAAGTTAATATTTTATTAATGGTTGATAATTAAAAAATAAAACAAGGATAAATACATTTTTTGAATTTTATATCATTGATTTAAGATAAATAAATATATTAAATTATTTAATAATTTATTTAAAATGTTAAAATTTAATTTATAAGTATGTAATAAATAAATATTTATAATTTTATAAATTATATTATCATTATAAATTATAAAAATAAATAATTTAAATTATAATTTTAAATAAAAATAAGTAAATTGTTAATTATAAATGTAAGTATATATAAATAAATATTAATGAAATATATTATTATTATTATTATTATTATTTGTAATATAGAATTATTATATATTATTATTATAGTCCAAGTATGAGACCGTATATGTAACACCCTAGTTTTCAAAATGGTTATTATTATTATTATTATTATTATATGGTATTTGGTCATAATTTTGTGGTTATATTTTACTTTAATTGTAGCTAATTCATACTCCATTTATGCTTAGAAAGATATGTGTGTTGTTGGACCTAATTAGATAGTTGTGAATTTTTTTAAGAACCATTTCTCGTTGGGCTGACTGACAAGTCTCGATTTTTAGGGCATAACTTGGGTTGTGGTAGTCCAAATAATGCAAAATTGGTGTTAATAGAAAACGAAGAGAAAGACGTACAACTTTTGCAGAAATAGCCATTTGCAAATTCGGTCGTATAGAAGGTCAAAATTGGAATTTGATTGATACAATTGTTTCTCGCTGGGCTGATTGGCAAGCCTCTGTTTTTGGGGCATATCTTGGTCTGTGGTTGTCCAAATGATGCAAACCTGGTGTTTATGGAAAGATAAGATAAAACCCTACAACTTTCGTGAAGAAATTATTTTCAGATTCGGCCGTCTGGAAGGTTCGAATCGGTAGCCAAAGTCGGTGCGGAAAAGAACATGGCACCAACTCCACTAATTCATCCCACCAACTTCAATAATTCATTCCACTAATTCATCCCACCAACTTCAATAATTCATTCCACTAATTCATTCCACTTAGTTTTGTCTATCTTTTTCTCCATTATTTTACATTTTTTTAATGTGTTTTGGAGGCTATAAATAGGCCTTCACTTCTCCATTGCAAACCATCCCAAGAAACACTTCTCATTCTCATTCTCTCTTCTCTTATACTCTCTTCTTTCCCTCTTCTTCTCTTTGAAGACCAAGGGAAATCCAGAGGAGGAGGTTCTATCCTAGTTTTAGCTCCGGTCCCTGTTTTAGACAGAAGAAGCCTTGGGGAGGCAGCCGTGCTATAGTCTCAGTTTCTGCTTATCCAGGTAAGGGAGGAGTGAGAAACCTCGCTCTGGGTGTGGGATTGTATGCTGGGTAGTGGGATTGGCCCCCAATCCTGTGTTTGTTGTATGTCATATTGTTTGTATGTTCTAATTGCTTGGTTAATATGCATGTATGAATAGAAACTATGTTGAGACTATGATTGTGAAAGTTGTGAATATGATGTGATAATGCATATGTGATGCTTTTGATGATATGATGTGATGATGAAATATGATGATGTGCAATGACCATGAGACAATATGAAATGTGATTGAGACATGAGATATGAAATGTGATAATGTGATAATGATATATGAAATGTGATAAAGAGAAAGTGATAAAGTGATATGAGAATGCATAGAGTCTTGATTGACATGCATCATTTGCATAAGTGATAAGGGTACGATATGGAATACACTGCCAGAAAAGGCCCCCTAGTGTAAAAGCTTTGGGGATCAGTGCTTGGGGATGGCTCGGTTTGGAAGTCCCAGTCTCGTCCATTGTGTGCATGGGATGTATCTTGCGCGGCTTAGCTATCCCGACGAGACTCTGGTAGTATGTCCTTCTAGTGAGAGTGCGCAGAGGTTGTGTCCCGGCATGTACTCCTAGACTACTCTTTGTGTATTGCTAGCGGCAATATACTACGTGATAAGTGACTGGCGCCACATGCATGATAAAATGTAGTCCGTGTCCATACATGTGTCTTTTGATGTTATATGACAAATGAATATGCCTTGAATGAGTAAGATGTGATATTGTTATTAATCTATGTTATACATATTTTGTTTGTGCTTGGCTATCTGGTATATATTTCTACACTGTGAGCCGAGTGAGATGTTTTCTCACTCCCTTTTTCTTTGTGTTGTTTTTCTCTGACTGTTATACAGGTGATTATCAGTATGAGGCTGAGAATGTTGGTCGTGAAGCTTAGGCTTCTTTATGGGCTATGCTCTGATAGGACATGTGACATCGGGGCATAGATAAGATTAGATTAGGATGTTAATGTTATTATTTTGGAAACTTGAGATTTATTTCTTTGTAATTTCTGCTGATTGTGTATGTTAAAAATGTGATACTCTTTAAACATGTTTGATTATTAAATGTTATATTATTTAAAATTATTGAGTTATGATATGCGGGGTAGAGGGTGTCACAGTATAGGTTAGAATGACTTAAATGAATTAATTTGTACAAGATATACCGACAACATGCATATACATTTTGGTAGCATATCTAATCAGAACTTCACAGTTAAGCATGCTAGACTTTGAGTAATATAGGGATGGGTGACTTTCTAGGAAATCTCCCAGAAATTGTGCAAGTAAGGATAAAATATGATAAAAAGTGAAATATCATGAAATAGAACTCTCTTGAGGGGCCAACATCCCTCTCAACTTGTGGCGTGTGACACCCTCTACCCCAACATACATATACAGTAATTATAAAAAAAAAGATAAAATAAAAATTAAATTTCCAACCGCGTAAGGGTAAAGAGTTCACATTCATAAACTTAATCCAAATAGACATGAGAGGACATAGCGACACCAATTGGGATGAACAACATGTAGAGTGGATTTCCATTTGGAAAGATAGACGCAAACATGTTATTTTTTGGGAACCACTTCAGGGGCCTCTCCAACACACTCCTGAGTATTTGCAATTTTTTTCGTGCTAATTATAAATTATTTCTTTCTAGCCAATATTCTTCATCTAATGCATCCACTTCTAGTACACAACTCCTAACAATTATAGGACAACATTCCTAGTGGCTGGAGATAACCACCCACCTTATAGTGTGGAACAACATCCCTAGTCTAATCCACCATTTTCATATGCACCATGAACAATTCACGTACACCCCACCATCAACAACAACTCCAACAGGGGACTTCATGAGCAATCTTTTTGGCATTGACATACACATGCCACAAAGTGCATATAATTATATGCAAAACATGAATTTTCCTTCATTTTCTTCTTATCACTCTGAGGTCGGTGGAAGTGATTCGTCAAATCCAGCCATTGATACTGTTAATATAGAACAGGATGAGGAGCAAGTTAAACTACAACAACCACACATTGGTCGTCTGATGAAGATTTTTGCAATCTCTCCACTTGGCAAGCGGACCAAGTTTCGAAGTAGTATTTGAATATCATCCTCAAGGATTTTAGCGTTTAGTAATTCTTTACTCTAATGATCCAATAAAATATGTTGATGGAATTGCATTTGAGTTAAGATGATGTAAAGCAACACAATGATATAAAATTAATAACAATAATTTTAAGAAACAAGGATTGGTTCAAAAGTACTTGCTAACTTGTAGATCTTCTTAAAATAAATGCGATTCTAATTTCATTATTTCCATGTTCATTTATTAATCCAACAAGATTCCTCAAGGTTGAATCCTAAAGTCATTAATCTCAAAACACGATTCCTCTATATTTTGAGTTTAATACTTCGCATTAAGAATAGTGCCTTGAACAATGTGACTAACCAAATCAAGTCTATTCCTAGAAAGAGAAATGATTAGGTGCAAGATTCAGTTTGGGCTTTCAAAAACGTTTTCCAACTAGATTCAAAAGCCAAAATCATACCAAGGGTGATCAAAACGATAGAAGTATTAAGTAAAGAATCAAGCACAAATAATGAGATCAAAATGCATATATTTAAGAAGAAGAAGAGTTAGTAGTTACATCCAACCAATCCTTAATGAGTTTAGCCACACATGGCCATTACAAGGTATAAGAGATAAAAGAAGAGGTTACAAAGTGGGAGATGAAAACAAGGGGTTGGGCTTCGTTCCCAAATGACCCAGCTGCCCAAGTCTTCATTCTTGCTCTATTTCTCTCTTCTCTAAGGTCTTAATCTTGTTTCTATCTCTCTTGTTCGTGATCATCTCTCTTTTTCATATTTTCCCCTTTTATATGAGCTTTAAAACAGGGGCAAAAAGTGAATTTTCCTCCCACAGCTGCAGCTATAAATCCACAACTATGGCTGTGGAGAGTCCTTCAGAGTGAAGAAACCTCTAGCGCTGCAGCTATGGTTTCACAACTATAGCTGTGGAAACTCGTTCAAGCTTAAGGAACCTCCAGCGCTGCAACGGTGAAGCCACAACTATGGCTGTGGATCTTTGGAATTTTTGTTGGGTCCTGGGTGCTCCATGGCTTTAGCTGTGAGTCCATAACTTTAGCTTCAACTCTTTAGAACTTCAAATTTCATTTCAGATTTCCACAGCTATAGTTGCAGATCCACAACTATAGTTGCAACTTTCTGGATTTCTAATTCCTTCCCAGATTCCCAGATTTCCATAGCTATGGCTGTGGATCTCTGCCTTCCTAATTTTTTTGCAAAAAATGCGGAAATTCCTTAGGATTTTGCTACTACTCTTCTACTCTTTTAGTATAACTTGATTCTTTCAATTTAGGGGGTAAAATAACATATATAAATATCTATAATTACCAAAAAGAGTACCAAAAGTTGAGTGCAAATCATGCATAAAAGACACTCAACAACTACCCCAACTTAATCTCTTGTTGGTCCCCAACAAGATACCAATCAAAAACCAAAAATGTCACATCCTACCATGAGATTTCTTATGTATTGTAGACCCCTAAAATTGTCCGGGTCGGAAATAAAGCTTGAAGACTCTCGAAGACTGAAGGAAGATCAGCCAGAAGGACTCCTGGAAGGCCCTAGGAGGGTTCTCTGTAGGTCTAGAGGTCTTAGAATAGCTTAAAATAAGGAAGTGGAGGGAATGAAGCCCAATACGGCCGTACTAAACTTAATACGGCCGTATTGAAGCTTCAATATGGCCGCAGTGAACTCAATACGGCGTATTGAAGTTTCTG